AAGAAGCCAAGCCTGAGGCCAAGAAAAGCGAGCTCAAGATCAGGAGCCAAAGAAGTGGACTGAGAAGAAAGAAGGAAGGATGAATCTACTCCAAACCCTAAAACAAAATGGAAAGAGTTCCTTAAATTGGATTAACCTCGTCCAATTGGAAATGATAACAGAATGCATAGGTCATTAGAAGGAGTTCCAATAAGCAGATAAACATTAGAAGGAGTTCCAATAAGCGGATAAATAGAGTATACCACCTTACTCCTCTATGAATGAGGGAGAAAGCAAATGGAAGAACCCGCGGATATGAGAAAAACTTAATCAAATTCATTGTTAGCCAAGGCGTGGTAAAGACAAGATAGACTTTGACCAGACGTGCTCGGAATCTATTTCGATCTGGGTAAAGCTGTTGGGTGGGATTACCTCACTCATTCCCTTCTGTAGGTCTGTTTGCTCCGGAACCGATATGACCTGACTTGAACTTTACAATAAAGAAAAGAAAGAAAAGAGAATTGAAAGACGAAAGCAAGACAACAAGACAAGATGAATTAGACTGATCTTGTAAAGACCATGAATTATCAAATTCTATCTTCTATCTATTTTTAGGAATATTTTTGAGGTCAAAGAGTTCTTTCGGCCCTTGTTCAAGACTGAAGGGAGACTCAAGCAAGACAAGATTCATTCTCCTTTACTGTGTTTGAATCAATAGGGAAGGTTCTTCTCATCCAGCCAGCCAGCCGGCCGAGGGGAAAGGGCAGGAGCCCGAGTAAGCCAGCCCGAAAGAAAGAAGCCGACCCTTGTTCAAGACTGATTTCACTCTTTAGGACCATTAATTATCAAATTCTATCATCGGTCTATTTTTTTTGGATATTTTTGAGGTATTTGAGGTATTTTTGGCCATTTTCCCCTATTTTTAGGGCTAAAAGAGTCCATTTTCCCAGATTTCCCTCTTTTTCGTGTAAAGACCATTAATAAAAAAACTATCTTCTGTCTATTCTTTTTTTTTTTTTTTTGGATAAAATGCTATCCTCGGTCTATTTTTAGGGTCATTTTCGTCAATTTTCCCTATATTTTCGTTCAAAATAGGCTAAATGGGACTGATTTCACTCTTTTTCATGTAAAGACCATCAATTCATTTTTTCTATCTTCTGTATATTTTTTTTTTTTGGATAAAATCGATGCTTTACCCTATATTTTTTTTGGCTATTTTGGGCTATAGGTAATTAACTATTAAGTCAAGACGAAACTCAAGATTCTAGAGAGTGAACTCCGGAACCTTTCGAAAAGAGAGAGATGAATGAGACTGAACCTATATCCTCTTCTCCTCTCACTACTTACTCATTTAGCTTTTCATTACCTTGCCTTCTTTCACTCCTGAACCTCGAGCGCCTGAACTATACTATTCTTTCACTTGGTAAAGCATATGAAATTCATTCGTTCTCTTATTTTGTTCGTTATTCTTGAACGGATCTTTCTCCTCTAGCTCGAGCTACTTACTCATGAACCTCGTAAACTATCACTCTTTGACTCTCTCTCCTATTTATTCTAGAACTGATCTTGATCCTTTCTTTCTTTTACTCGACTGTAAGAAACAAGCAAGAATTCTCCTATTTATTCAAACACTCGGGAAAGTTGCTAATGTACTCTCCCTGAATCTATTGATTCTTGAACGAGGTAAACTGGATGGAGGATGATTCAAACACTCTTTGACTCTCCCTTCACTGTCAAAAATCAATACGAAAGATGAATGAGACAGATTTCACTCTTAGACGATATTCCCTATTTTTGAGGTCATTGAACGAGGGAGGGTTGAACTAAACTGGGTAAGTAAGCTGGCTGGGAATCAGGTAAAGCTCCTTTCAGTTCGAGTTCGTTATTTGAAGAAGGGAAAGCCGAAAGAAGAATGAGAGTTTACAGGAAGGAAAGACGAAACCAACTATTAGGGAGAGGAAATAAAAGACAAAGACTCCTTCTCCTGTAAAGACCATTTATGATTTAGTTGATGCTCCATATAACTGTAAAGTTTCGTCAGAGCTTTTTCACTAACAGCTGCTACTTCAATTCATTCTTTTGATGCTCCATATAACTGTAAAGTTTCGTAAGAGCTTTTTCACTAACAGCTGCATAGGAAATTCATTCTTTTGATGCTCCATATAACTGTCAAGTTTCGTCAGAACTTTTTCACTAACAGCAGTTGCTGAAATAAATTCAATTTACAATTTCCCAGGATTTTAGGCTATTTTTGGCTAGAGGTAATTAATTAATAAGGAAAGAGACCGAAAACCTGAACCGGAACCGATATTACCTGATCTACACCTATTTCTTCTTTCACCTATTCCGTAAACTCCTTCTGACCGAACCAGATTGAACGAGGTAAACTCAATCACTTGAAGAACTATAAACAAAGCCGAAACAAGAATGAGACGAAACCTTAAACCTTTGACTGATTGAATAGTGTGTAAGAAAAGAAGAAGAAAGATGAATGAGACTGAAGAAGGAAAGACGAAAGATTAATGATAGTTTCTTTATAGTGAAATCCGGGAAGGAAAGACGAAACATGAATGAAATCCGGAACTTGATTGAACGAGTTTACAGTGAAAGAATAAAGGAAGACGAAAGAAAGACAAAGACTCCTACTTCGTTCACTCTTTTTTGTGTAAGGACCATTTATTAGAAAATCAATGCTTTCCCCTATTTTTTGGGCTATTTTAGACGGAGGTAATGTGAAATTAAAGGCAAGAGAGAGACTGAGACTGAACTCCTGAACCGGATTGAATGAATTTACGAGACTGTAAGCACGAAAGATTCATTCTTAATCTTCTCCTTTGACTATTTATTCTTTCACTGTAAAAGATCAATACAATACTACTTATTCATTCTTGATCTTCTCCTTCACCTTCTTTCACTCCTGAACCTCTGCAACTCTGTCTCATTCATTTCTTCGCTCCTTCGTCTCCTGATACCATTCTGTCACCTTACCTTAATCAATCCAGTCTTTTGTTGCAGTTGATGGAGAAGCTGCATTCATTGTTGGAACTGGGTTAGAACGCCACGTGGCTCGAGATTTCGGGGTTTCCCAACTAGTTTTGATGAAATACAAGATGCTCCGGTTTCAGGGAATCCCTAAAAAGCCCAGGTCGGTCAAGACTAGACTAAGAGTAGGTGTGGTTGCAACCAATCCAATAGTGCTTCTTACAGAGAAGTGTTTCAAGTCATTCGATTAAGGGCACTAGCTACCCTTTCTTTGTCTGGATTTGTAACGGGAGGCAGGAAACTCAGTCTATACCACAGCTTGAGACGAGACCCAAGAGGCAGCGAGCGTAGTTTATGGAGCGGGAGTCATAGTTCCAATAGCGAAGGAATTAGAATGGCGTTCGCAAAGGATACGACGGAGCGTTTAGGCTAATGGTACTACTAGTCAACTACACACTCACAGACTCTTTCTGCGCTGACTGAACTTGCTTCGTAAACAAGGCTCGTTCCTTCGCATGCTTCGGGCGAAGCCGGGGTCGGATTCCCTCTTCTTTATACTTTCGCCTAGGTAGGGAAAACTCTTAGATTCTCGACGTTTTATAGAGTTTTGATTCAAATCCCGACTCAACCCCTCACCCTATCTGTACCACAACCACTCATTATCCCTTACCAACTACCTTCTGTCTACAATCTGGATAAAGTCCCTTGTAATTAAGAAACAGGATACAGAGAAGAGAGAAAGGAAAAGGGAAGGACAAAACGGATGCTTTTCTCATGGCAATCGGAATAGAATGTGGCCGAACAGCTTAGCAAAGTCCCTGCCCATCTGGAGGTACACCCCTTTCCATTTAGAAGGATATCAAAAGGGGTAAAGAGACAAGAAAATGGAGAACTCCCAAATCAAAGTCATTGGATTTGTTCGTACCATTCTGTCATCGATCACTGCTGGGTCGGTTGGTGAGTCACCCCCCAAAAAGCATCGATCAAGGTCAAGCATGTATGGTTTATGAAATGATCAGTGGTCTCATTTATGCTATGCCCTGCATCGTGTTCGTCTGTCTTTATTGAGCTTTCTTCACTTCAGCGCCATGCGCTTTGCTTCGCTTTCTATTTATAGAAGAGAGAGACCATTGTCTTGAGAGTGAAAAGCAAGCGACAATCCTATCCTAAAGGAGAAGGAGGAGTAGGAGAAGTCTTCTTTGAAGATCTAGTAAGAAATCGGACAATTATGCCATTCAGAATCCGTCTTCTACAGAGGGAAAGCCTGTTACGAGTAAGTGGAGAGGAAAGATCTTCAGAGATTTTGATCTCATTCCATTCAAGTGGCTCGACCAGTAACCAATGGCGTGAACTAAAAAATTCCTAGTTTCCCGGTAAAACCCCATTTCGACCAAGTTGTTGCGAAACCGGCAAAAATAAGCGGTTTTACGCACAGCTTGCTCATAGTGCAGGTCCCACTTGTATATTGTATTTGGCCGAAGAAGCATCAGACAGGTTGGAGTTATTACCTTCTTGGGACTCTATAGACCAAGATCTGCTTTCATTATATGGGCAATACCGATCGACTTTAGTAGATCATATGGATGTAGAAAAAGCTTCGGATTTGAATGAATTGGAAACATCTCTTTTCCATTTCTATTTACCCAGTTCATATCTTTCTTTTGTGTGTTCCCGGGAGGAATTCTATCTCGGGATACCACCTAAATAATAGCAGAGGGTCAAATAGGTCGGGAAGAAAGAGTCTGAGGTCGGGTCGGACGACATACATCTTGGTTGGTTTCACCACCACTAGAGATTGGACATATATTCAATCTTTATTCGGTGGGAAAGAGATTATTATTTCATTTGAATAGCTGCAAGACCAAAACAGGGTGCAAAAAAGCGAAAGCCCAGATTTGCACTTCCTCCCAGATACACAGCTTACGTACCCCGCTCAACATTCTTGTAAAACAATCGAATCTAGTCCGAAGGCAAATTAGCCATTCAATCTTGTAAACTAATCGAGACCGTAATTGGAAAAAGAAAGACGAACAGGGAGGAATAACCAATCGATGAAGGAACATGAAACCATTCTGTTTCAATAGAGGTACGAGAAAGGGTTGGGGGCAATGAAGTAGGTGAAGTGGTTGGATTTTGTGAACTGTTCCAACCACGGCTGGATGTGATTCCAAGAGCCGAACGAAAATGAATACCACACATCAGAGTCAAGACCAGGCTCCCTAATAGAATGTTTAACCGATCCATTCCGGATCGACTGAATTGGTACGAAAGTTTGAACATGGGAAAACCAGAGAAAACACAACTGATTTGAATAACCCGGTGACCTACCAATTGTAGAAGTAGGATCTTTGGCAAGCAATAAGCACTTAAATAATACAATTCGAGTATACCATCTTCTTTCTCATTTCGAGGAAAGGGTGCAGGAGGAAAAGGAAACAACGGAGGGATCCGAATCGGACCTAAATGGGAATGACATGAAAAGTCTTTTTTAAAACCTAGCATTAAGGGCGTTACGACGATATACGAGAGGAATGGAGAAAAACTCATGATTGGTGTGGAGGGGAAGATCTGTTTATGATATAGTGCAAGAAAGAGTCGTCTCATTTCCTGACTTCTTCGTTCTTTCAAATTCATTCACTTCAAGGCTGGTTCTGAACGCCACGTAACATCATCTTCAACCAACCTCCACCGCCTTGTCTTTTCCCGCCCTTTCGGTGCATCCACTAAAGAATTGATTCTACACTAAATAGCTACAACTATACGCTTACTAAAAGACTGACTTAGGTTAGCAGCGTGAAACTAAGAAAGAGAGATCTGCCTAAAGCGGCATGCAAGCAAACAGTGCACGCTAAGAGAAAAGGGGAGAGATGTTCAAAATTACTATAACAATCAAGCTGCCCCCCTACCCTATCTCTCAAACTCTAAAAGGGCCCGTCACTTCGTTCGTACCTTCTTGGCTTAGGCTTCCAACTGAACTGACTTTATGGCCTTGCGCCTCTAGCAGAAGCTAAGCACTTGAAAAGTGCGCTAAGAAAGTTTGCTTCTTTCTGTCGGCCTTTCTGTGCAAGAGTCCACCAGTAGCGTAGGAGAGGGTTACTGTAGAAGAGTCTTCCCATTTTTACGTAAGCTTTTTATTACCAGTCAAGTAGTACAACATCAGTATCTCATCTTATAGCGCGATGGGTTGCCTTTTGAATGAAATAGAAGAAACTCTTATCGAGATAAAAATGAGAGACTTGGAGTAGGTGAGTTAGTCCTCACTGACCTGAGCGATTTCGATCACCTAGCAGGCCTTTGATTTGGTAGGTAACATCACCGAAGCGTATCATCAGATTTGACTACGAAGGAAGGCACTCGAAGTGAGAGGGCACCATCTTGTGCAACGAGAATTGGCCCTCTATCATCGGGCGAGGAAAGAGACCCCTTCCTTTTTGGGGGATCAAGTTCCCAGCCCGAGACGCGTTCGTTGACAAAACCTCCATAGGAATGGAGACCTTTCCCTCGAGCGGAGGCGACCTGATCAACGAGAAAGAGGCCCTACTCACTGCAAACGAATACACCACAAGATCGAAACTCATGCCTCTCTAGCATCAAGTGACCCCCACCACTACGTAGTGATTATATCAATCATGTACGGGGGCCCTCCATTCTGATTGGTATATCATGAAAAAATCAAGCCATTTGCACCAGGCGCACTGCGCTTTCCCTTGCCCAGATGTTCTTCTCAGTCTTGGAAAGGTGACCCGCCGAAGACAGGAGCCCTTTAACATGTTTACGAAGACCTCTTAGAGAAAGGGGGTTCGATCAGTAGAGGGGACTACTTTGCCTCCCCGAAAGAAAAAGAGCCCCGCTGGACGACTGATCCCGTTGATCATATAACTGGGAGGGAACGTGTCACATTAGAGGTGAACGATCAAAGATGTCCTCTAATTACCACGATGAGGCTGGTCCCCCTTTGATTTTAGTAGACTAAGCTATGAATATGAATGAAGAAATGAATGTCGGGCTCTTTCTTTCACTGCTAACCCCAATCAGTTTCAACATGCTGATACTTGCCCTTTCGTCGAGCCCCGAGCTTGTGGTCCTCCTTTTAGTGTGGGTTCCATTGGATGAATCTGTCAAGTCAAGGTCAATGTACGTAGCAGCAAGGATGGTGCATCACCTATTTCTCGTTCTCGCTCGGGAGCAAAAATGAAAAAGCCGGCTACCTACTGTACTGGACCTTCGACCAGGTATTCTACCCTTCTCGAATCGGAACCAACCACCCCACTCTAATAATAGAAGAAAGGAAAACGCTCGAATAGTTGAGCGGCCAGCAACTTCCGTACACAGAGATAGATTCATTCTTCGTACCTGGTCCAACTTCACAAGCCTTCGCGAGTTGAGCAAAAGTCTTCTTTGATAAGACGGAATTTGACAAAGAAAAGAGAGTGCTCGACCGGAACAATGACCAACAAAGACCCTAATTACATATAGCTCCTCCCCTCCCCTTATTTAAGGCTTTAAGAACCGGATGGCGGCTGGAAAGAAAGACGACCTCACCTTATCGTAGATGGTGTCAGTGAGAGCCACTTTAGTATCCCCCGTTGACTTTCTTTTGTGGATAGAATCTTCAATGAGTAGAAAGAAGCAACCTGACTAATAAAGGTGCTTGTTGAGTAAGGTCGGCTTTCGAGCCCAAGCCTCTTTTGGGTTGGGCAGATGAATAGTTGTTAGTGTAGAGAGGCAACGAAGGTGATAGAAAAAAGCAAATCTTCATCCTATCCCTTTATCCTCAAGCTCGAACTCATAATAGTTTACGGAAAAGACGGTCGATCATGTAGTTAACAACCAATATTTACAGCAATTTCACCTTTCGGGTGTAAATAACCAACCCTAATCCTCAATGGTATACTCCTCCTCCCTATCCTGTTAGAGTTTTGCCCGAATTCTGTTAATCTTTTTCCCCAAAATCCTCATCCTCAACTGCAGAACCCCAACCATACTTTGGTCGAAACCTAACCAGATGGATAGACAGATTATTTAACCGAAACCTGATCGGGAGAGAGAGAAAAAGAAATGACTATCTTGTTCCATCGCTTTCTCCAGTAATCGGCTCCTGGTGAGAATGGAAATCCTGGTTGATGCAAACTGAGATCTTGAAGCTAAGGCTAAGGCCCTTCCTAAAGCAGGGACGTAGTTTCTTATTCAAATCCAAAGTCTTCAGTCTCCTCCCTGGCTAAGGCTGTAGTTCCAAATCCGGAATCTTAAACAATTCAGCTTAATATAGCATAGCAGATAATCTGATTCTGCTTCAAAGAAGAAAGAAAGGGGCGGGGCATCTTTCGCTTTCCTTTTGGGTTGTGAGTGCATGCGTCCACCACGGTCAGGGCTTTCACAGGTACCTTGTACGTAGTTAAGGTTCAACTTTGTTTGGTCTTGCTTGATTCTAGACTAGACTGGAAATAACCCTATGACTGACCTAGCTCAAATTTGATGTTGATTCGGGCAGAGCGAGATAAAAGGTTTGGTTCAGGAGACAAATGAGATAGATGTTCGGAATAAACTGGATATGCTGCTGAGGGAAATACTGCTGCGAGAGAGGGCATTACAGAAAGAATTGAGTGATTCTCACCTAAGACTGAAAAGCGTTACGGTTGGGCTTCTTTAGAGGGATGCAAGTGCGCCAAGCTAAGAACAAAACAATACCCGTCCACTTTTTCATCGACTTTTGGAAAAAAGGAGGATTTCAGCTACTTTCAGAAAACAGGGTCAACAAAGAAAGAAAATCGTCAAAGATATACATAGTAGGCAGGGAAGGAAGCACCATAAGCTACAAGCTCCTCATCAACCGCCTCGGTTCGAGGGTTTTTCCTTCGAGTCAGGTCCACTCCTTTCATAAAACAAGGTCAAAATGATGGGCTCAATGAGCCGGCTTTGAGCGGTGCTTCTCCTGTCTACTCATAGAAACTCGAACCAATCCGTTTTCTTCCACTTTGAAGCATGTGACCGGCACCGGTGCTGCTGCAACGGCCATCAATGGCAACAAGTGGCGTCATCGGATTCAGACTTCTACTTTAGGTGATTCGGGAGCAGATGCGTCTCTATCTTTGGATTCTGAGTTGGATACTGACTTCATATTCTGCAGATTCCCCGGTGTTTGCGTATGCGTCAGTCGATGCGTCTTCGTATTCGGCTTTAGCTGAGACTAATCTTTCTCTAGCTTCTTCTGATTCGACATCTTCAAGAGTTTCAGTTGAACAGGCGCACTCACTGAAGGAAGCCTTCCGACCCGTAAGAGGCTTATTCCCATCGTTCGGATGGGAAAGAGCGGGCACCGATCCTCTCTCTCTTTTAACCCTCCCTCGAAAGAGCTATTGCCGGGAATAACAGGACAAAGACTCTCTTTTTCATATCTTGTGAAAACCAGACTCTGGTCTTCGGCCTCCAACTATCTTTCTTTAGCTAAGGACAAGCCAAGCTAGAAGTTAGAATAGAATAGAATAAAGTAATGAATGGTCGAGATCGATATCGCTGGGCTAGTGTGGCTCGAGGAGAAGATAGGCAGCTCGACTCCTCGAGGAAAGGGCTAACAAAGGCTTGACTGAAAGGGAAAGGGTAGGGGTAGGAAAGAAAATGGGATTCTGTTCAATAGAAAGAGGAAAGAAAGGATTGTACACCATCAAGTATCTAGTTGTAGGGGGGACTGATTTCTGTAAGATTCGGGTAGATAAGTCAAGTTGCTCGAGGAGAAGAGGAGAGGGGCGATGAGACCGAGTTTACAGTGAAAGAAGGAGAGTCCATTCAATTAGAATAGGTTCAGGCAATGGAATTGTGAGACCATAAAGAAGAGGTTCAGGGGCAAAGCCACGAGACCATAAAGAAGAGGTTCAGAGGCGCTTTGTTTTCATTTTCTTAACGCTAACGAAATCGTGGTTTCCTGAAGAATGTTAACTTTTATAATCCATAGATTAAAACAGCATCTTGGGTGAAGCAAAGAGTGGTTCGGTCAGAAGCATCTACCCCGCACTCAATCCAATAAGCAAGCACATAAGCAAGACGAATCGAATCTCTTTCTCTTTCAGTATTCAAAAATTAGGTAGGAATCAGGGCTAAAGCACATACATATAGAGAGGAGCAAAAGAAAGATGTGACAGTTAGATAAGAATTTCCAGGATCCACCGGCGGTATTTGATTGATCTCGCGCGGTACGAATGACTTTCAGAAATTCTACCCCGAAGAATACATTCTAGTAACTTCGAACTTTATTGAATCAACTGTCTTGAATGCAAGTAAAGCCCCTTTTGAAAAAGAACTAGAAATGGGTATTAAACAAAGGACATAGTGGGATAGGTAAAACCTCTTTTTTCGAGTGAAAGGCCTTATGTTATGAGGGTCAACCTCCTAACCAAGTGCAACTATGTGCCAAACTCTCCTCTATAATAAGGGTGGGGTATCCGAATCGACCTCCAACACTGATTCCGGATATCGTGATCTTGGATCCAGGTCCAGGTACTTTTTCTGATTCTGATTCTCTTGGGTATGATACCGAAGCTAAGTATAAGTAGATGAAAACAACTTGACCAAGAGTTGCGTCAGCTGATTATTCCGCTAAGTCAGTAAAGCCTGAAAAGCCTTGCTCTAAAGGGGCTTAGGGTGAGACCCTTCTATTAAGGAGAGTTTAGTTTGGCAGATCGACTTATAGTTGCTTCGGATCTAGCATTTTTTGGGGATTAGAAAGAGAAAGGGTAAGACGACTCTCCTCTTTCAGTCTTTCCTGCCTTGAAGAACCAGATTTTTTGGATAGGAAGGGAATGAGGGCCGAACGAAGAAAGCATCTGTCTTCTTTTCCTTTTCTTTGTTTTGGTAATCATAGGAGTCGCTCCAGGGCCTGGAAAGCGTGAGCAAGTTCTCTTCTCTCGCTCTCGGTACAAACTTGGGACACCAAACAACCCTACTCTATCCCGCTGACACGAGGGAAGTGGAGTAAGCAGGGAAGCGCGCAAGAGCTATAGCTAGTCTCCTGGTTCTATTATCAGTGCGAGATCAAAAAGATATAGAATATATAAGTCCCCGCCTTGTACTGTAGAAGTAAGCTCACCAGCAAGGAGTAGTGAGGAATGAATTCCAACGGGGAAAAGAAAGGAAGGAAGGTTCATTTAAGCCGCTGACAAACCGGCTAATCCAGTATACCCAGCGTAGTAAGCTAATCCTGTAAGCAGACTTTGAGTTAGTAATCCTTAGTCTTGTTCTGTAAGCAATAAATAAAGCAAAGATAGAATAAGGATGGTATAGGAATCCCCTCTCTAACGTTCTAACCTTTAAGCCAGTAATGAGTCAGCCAATGGGATAGAAAATCTCATAAGTCAGGTAATATCGTAAGCCAGGTTTTCTCTTTTTGAAAGTCCCACAGAAGAATCTAAATAAAGGGTCAGGGAATCCTAAATAAGCTCGAGTCAGCGTGCTAGTTATAGTGCTAGAGCAAGAGTCAGCATGGGAGATCGATCTCACAAGCCTATATTTCAATATGACTGCTGCGAAGCACTGCAAAAGCTAAGGAGGCTTTGATGGTAGCTAATTGAAGACCGAGACAATCTGAGCATCTGGCGAATCCAATCCGTACAACTGGTACTTGACAAAGAAGTTCTTATTCGAAAGTCCCAGACTTACCTACTTACTTCTGTCAATCAGTCAGACATGCCATGTTTAGGCTAATTACCCTATAGATCAACAACTATGAATAGAATAGTGTCTGAGCTAATAATCTCATATTCGTGAAAACAGAACATCTTCTTCTTTTACCAGTTACCCGCTTTTGTCAAAAAAGTCCTAAGACCGATAATGCAGCATCTAGAGAGATAAGCGGAGTCAGGGCCTAAAGACTGTTTGTTACCAATAGCAATAGTCAGTTTTAAAGAAGTTCCTTAACTCACTCATATCATTTTGCCTTAGGTCAAGGCTACATTTCTCTAGAATTGGAATGAACTTATTCTCGGGTAAACAATGTACGACTTCTAGCTTCAAAAAGTTCTATAACATCTCTTCACATATAAAGGATGATGATGAGGCCTGGAATTCTGTTCACTGCTTGAGTTGTGATTGAGAGAGTTCCTTAGAAAATGAAGACCACAGGGCGAGTTTCACTTTCACATCATGATCGAAAAGGCAAGTCAGAAAAAAGATTAGGTCTTATTCGTGGTGGAGTGCTTCAAAATCCATGGGGTTATGTTACGAATGAAGAGAGGGCTACTAGAACTGGAAAACCGGGGATGATGTAAACCATGTACGTTCGGATTACAATAGGTAAAGAGGGTAAGATATATATATATATATATAGCTTGACTTCACTCTTTCGGTCTTACGTGGAGGATGTGGTTGGCCCATTTCGGTTTCTAACTCTTTCTCGTACAGGGCCTCTTTCTTTAGAGAGCTTAGTTTCCAATCCCCCTTCGTGAAGAGACAAGGGATGTCTACTTCTAATGATGGGTGTTTTAAGACGATTCCTACAATTACACCGCCCTAAGTGAGTCAGGCAACTTCTACATGCTTTTTGTCTCTCGTATCAGACCTAATCTTCAGTTATGCGGGTAGCATGCACACCCAAGGGAGAGTATGTTAGTATGGTGCTTCAACAAAGTCTTGTTCCGCTTGCCTTTACTCACCAAAGAAAAAAAGCGTTGTTCTCAGACTGAGAGTTCCTAGAAAGCATATCAGAGAACAATTTTGTGTAACCCCTTTCTTTTCAGGCTCGAGGCTCTGTCTGATCTTCCAAGAATATGTATGGTTCATTCTCTATTCACATTTAAATTATTAAATAGAAAGTGGTACCCTCATTTTATAAGACTACCTCAAGCCCCCACAGTGGAATGATTTTGCTATGTTGATTCTTCAGAGAATGGAGTAGATAGCTCTTTCAAACAATGATGGTCCGGGTCCCCAAAAAGAAAGTCTCCATGAAAGGAAAGGGGAGGAATCCTCGTAGTTAGCAGGTGGGAATACTTTCCCAGGAAAGGGCAATGGAGGGGTGCCATTGAAACCATTTCTACCTTATAGCCTTTGAAAGCTGGTACAATGAGTCTGATATAAAAGGAAGCCTTTCGATCTAGTATTCAGCCCGTCAGACTACATGGGAATCTTCCTAGGGGTTTCCAACACTTAATCCCCATGGAAAGCTCTTAGATTGCAAGGCTTCTTTGGTTCGTTATACGCTTTAGGGGAGTCCTTATTTGACAGTATAGCTTAGCTTATTTAGTCAATGCCTATAGTCAATTCAAATACAAACTCTATCCCTTCCAGAAATTATGTACTAGGGAAGAAAGAGACTACAACAATTGAAACTATCTCGCCGGCAGAAGGAATAGGACTCCCGGGCAGATCAGGTACAAGCTCCCCAGGCCATAAAGAAGCAATGTATTGACAGACAGCAAGGATAACCAACTACATCTGTCACTTCCACTTATGGCCTTTCATCGAGAGCAAATGGCCTAAAAACTAGTTCCGACACCAATAGAAAAAGAAGAAAGAGGCTTTCTTTGATTTACTTTACCTGTCAAGTTCAAGGAATATCAGAAAAGGATTTCATTGACTCGACTGTAAAGGAATAGGGAATGTTGATTCTCCCTTCTCCCTATTTATTCACTCTAAACTCGAATTAAGCTTGATTTCCTCTTCCCTTCCTGATTCTGCTTTTCTTTTCTTTACTCTACTGGTCAAGTTCAGGTAATAAATAGAGTCAAAGGTTCAGATTCATGAGCAAATCTTTCTTTCATTTTCAGAGTCTTTCAAGTTTCATCAAAGGAAAGAAAAGAGAAGAGACCGAGTTCAACAAACACCCATTCTATTCCATGTTACCAAGTTCAATCAGTAATAGTCCGGCCAGGCAATGTAATTTCAGTTTACCTCGTGTTTGAAGGAAAAGGTTTAAGGTTAAGGCTTTTTCTTATGATTTAGAATTGTAAAGGAGACTCCTTCCTATTCATATTATCTAGAAAACTAGTATTCTAGTATTCTATATGTATGGTCGGGAGAAGGTCTTAAATCAGACTGCATGGAAGGAATAAATGTTTTATTTATTATTCCCATTCCCATTCTATGCAATTGGCTCGTAAGCACTAGAAATAGATGGCCTTAGGACAGAAGCTAGTTGCTCACCCCCCCCAAAACCTCTGGGCATAGGAAAAGAACTTGAGAAGGCCCTAGTCAAAGGGAAGTCAGTAACTCTCTATACTGTTATTGAACTTGGTGTCATGTCGTCATCCCCCCTGCTTCTATCAAAGAGAACCCATGTGTAAAGGCTTAGGCTACTCCCCTATCATTAGCTGTTCTTGCAACCGATCAACTTTTCCAACATTGATTTTAGATTGAAAGAATTTTCTCAACACACTAATTTCGACATATTTGATTTGATTATGAGAATCAATCCTACTACTTCTGGTCCTGAGGTTTCCACATGCTTGAAAAAAACAACTTGGGACGTATCGCTCAAATCATTGGTCCTGTACTAGATGTAGCTTTTCCCTCGGGATGCCTAATATTTACAACGCATTGACTGTGAAAGGTTAGGATACTTACTGTCGGTCAAGAAATTAATGTGACTTGTGAAGTACAGCAACAGCAATTATTAGGAAATCATCGGGTTAGAGAGCTATGAGTGCTACAAATGGTCTAATGAGAGGAATGGAAGTGGTTAACACGAGAGCTCCTCTCGCTATCGGTCGAGCTGCTTCGCTCATGAACCTGAACCGATATTCCCTAAAGTTCTTGTTCTTTCCTATTCTTTCACTGTAAACTACTAAGACGAAACGAAAGCTGCATTCTCAATCACTACTGAACCTCGTAAACTATCATCAGGTCAAGCTCCTACACCTATTTCTTTCTTTTAGATCCTTGAAGGACCATTGATTAAAAAATTGATGCTTTACCCTATTTTGAGGGCTATAGGTAATTAAGAAGGAAAGAAGAAAGATGAATCAGAGTTCACTGTCAGTCAAGACTCAAGCAAGACAAGAAAGATGAATGAGACTGTAAACACTCCTTATTCATGAGAGTTCACTGTCAGTCAAGACTCAACATTCTTGATCTTCTCCTTCTTTCACTATTCTTGAACTGTAAATAAGGATCAATACTCCTTATTCATTCGACTCTTAAAATTCAATCAAGATTTGCTCATGGCCCCTTCTCCTTAGCTCCTCCTTCACCTTTTCCTTCTTTCACTCGTTCTCGCAATTCCATTGCTTGCCTGAACTACTTCCCTTCCCTGATGGAACTCTGTAAATAGGCTTTGATTCCATTATTACTTGGACTATTATTTCTTTCATTCGGTCTCCTTCTCTTCTCTTCTCTCCTGTAAAGGTTCTGGAGCAAGCCAACTTCCTTCTCCTTCGGTAGTGATAGTAGCTTCAATCAAAGGAATTGGTAATACTGGGTCTTGGTCTTTGCATCGATGTTTGTTTGGCAGGGCGGGTCGGTCGTCGCTTGAGTGTCAAAAGTAGTGGTTGTTTTTCCTTGTCTTATCGAACCAGCGTATGTATGCCCATTATTCCTCCTTTGCTGCCTCCCAGTAAGTATAGAAAGCCTCAATTGCCGATGTGTGTGGATGGATTGAAAGGAAGTTGGGGATAGACATAAATCCTTCTTTCTGCCTATCCGGAGTGTTGGAAAGAAATTAATGGTTTTTCTCTTTTAGATTTCCTGATCACTGTAAGCAATCTTCACTGGCACAAGGATCTCCTCATAGCAACCTCCACTATGTACAATGAGTTTACGAAGACTTCGAGTAGTGCGAGATAGATAGGCTAATAACCAGACAGCTCTGGAATAGGTTAATCGCCGGAGACAAGAGAATGGAAGGTATCTTTTTCGAGAGCATGCCTTAACTTAATTATTAATTAGAGTAGGGGTCTCGTAACTTAATTATTAATTATAGTAGGGGTCGTATAGTTTTTAAGAATTACAGTAGTAGGGGTCGTATAGTTTCTAAGTGAAAGCAAGCGCAACGAGATCTTTCATATCCTCCCTGTCAGGCAGGTCCGCTATAAAGCCTACGGGCCCGAAAGTCTGAAAGAACGGGAAAGCTGACCAAAAGACTATTCTATCTATAACCGACTCTTGTTGCCGAATCGAAGGGGCTTGGCTTGTACTAGGATCTAACTAAAAGAGTTTTCTTCAAGCGAGCTGTCTTTCATTCTTTCTTTTTGGGTTGCATGGGCCCAAGGAAATGTTTTTTTGTAGATTGAGTGAGATGGATTGATCTTCGCTATCGTGCACCTTCCAACTCCCAGTGGATGCTACGGCAGTGCCTAATATGAGGTTGCTCCTGCCTCAGACAGCTTCGAGGTTCCCATTACAGAGGTTGAAACTACTGAACTTGCTTATGCTCTCGAGTGCTCTTTCTCTAAATAAAGATTGAGTAGTAAAATGGGATCAAGATTTCCTCGGCTTCTTAGGCACATGAGGAACCGGCCTAACATCTTTTCAATCGAAATCCCAATCAAAGACAAGTTCTCTACCAAGGCCAGGATCTAAAAGAGAAGATTCACTCTCCGGAATTCCTAGTGAGATGATTCATTCCTTCTTCAGGTAAAGTGGAATGATTGAAGTCTCC